TGAAAACTCCAGGCCTGAGGCAGAATCACTGCACGGATCTATAAAGCCATTGAACCCGATGTGATCACTGCCGCCCTGAAAGTGTGCAGGCTGGGGAGAGACACTTCCCACCCTGAGGTGTGCAGGGTTTCCAGGACAGCACTCCCCTAAGTGCCTGGGCACAGGCCCGGGTAGTAGGGAGTGCTGCTCCCCGCCCCCGCACCGAGGCCTGGCAGGAGGAGGCGGCCCGGGACCCAAAGGTCACTCCGAGAAGCCCCCAGAGCTTGTACAGTCCCTGATCTGGATACTCACGCCAGAAGTTCAAGTTGCAATTGCAGAAACAGTGAGTGGAGTGAGGCAGGCTCTCCCTGGAGACCATCGGGCCTGTGCAGGGACCACGCACTCTTGAAGCCGCAAGGCTCCAGGACCCCAACAAGGGCTGGGGGCGGGGTGCTGAGTGAGAAAACCCGGGTTCTCGTGGGAGGGAGAGTGGGTAAGAGCTCGGGCCTTAGGCCGGGGGCACTTATCACCCCCGCAGGTTCACGAAAGCCTGGAGGAAACTGCCCAGAGCCAGCTTACCTCGAAGGAGGCTTTGGGGGAAGGTGAGGCCCCAAAGGCTATCCAGTATTCCCTTTGAACTTGACATCCCAACAGGAGCAGAGAGGTGCCATGCGCCGGCTTGATGAATTCTGGTTCAGCTCCGTCTGCCAGAAGCCACGCCCATGGCTTTCCCTGTGTGCCTAAGAGCGAAGAGTTGCAACAGTAATAGCGCCCCAGGCGGGGCGTGAGCCTTTGCCCAGTTCTCACATTAGCGAATTGCCCCCCAAATGGACTTTTGTCCTTTCCTTCATAGATTTGAAAGGAGTTCACCGTTCAGCATAACCTGGGCCCCCACCAGACCACCCCTGCTTGCAGGGCCCTGGGAATCAATCGCTTTTAAATAAATGCTTTAATGATTTGAACAACCCAATTTCTGTTGAATAACTTCAATGTGTGACTACAGGGGAAAAAAAAAAACTTGATTTATTACATGATGTAACCATTTACAGCATAACACACTTTTTATGTTGCAACCCTGCTTTGGCATTTCCTTATTTTAAAAACGTTTTTATCAGGAGGATCGGAAACTGGTGGAGGCCCAGCGCCTGCACACCTGAGGACCCTCCACTGAGCTCCACGGGGCTCTTGGAAGCCTCTGCTGGAGGCAGGCGTTCAAGAGAAGTCGTCTTGTATCAGCTGACTCAGTGCTGCCCAGAAGTTGTTAATAATAATAATAATAATAACAATAATAATAATAGACAGTATTTGTTGTGCAGTGCTTATTGGTTTTCGAAGCACACCCACACCCTGTGATCCAACGGCCCCAGAGCCCAACCTGCGGAGGTCAGCCTTGACAAGCAACCCACCCAACTGCGTGCAAACGGAGGCTTCCGGTCCCTGACCCCGCCCCTTAAGGGCATTTGACTTTCAGGCAAATCACTTGGCCTCTTTGAGCTTCAGTGTCCCCATCTTGAACTGGGCTGAGGTGGCCACAGGGAGCTGGGGTGGGACAGACCCAGGCGGCACATTGGCACGGGCGACGCCCACGCAGAAGGAGCTGCGGTGGCTGTTGCTGTTGTCCTCGGGTATTCTGTGGATGCTCCGCAGGGCCTCCCTCAGATCAGGAGCCTCTGCTCCTGCTTCCTTCGTGGCTCATGGGGTGGCCTTCACAGGCGACCTTGGCCTCTGCAGTAGTCAGGCACTGCCAGCCACTGCAATGACCAGCCTCTACCTACCTGCAGAGTGCTTTCAAGCATTTGCCGTGTCCTGCAGTCCCCACGCGCTCCGTGTGGGTCCCAGTTAACATTTAGCAGGAGGAGATTGGTGACCTGCAAGACTGAAGCCCGGCCGGGCTGCGGCCTGAGCCCCAGCACCTGTGCTCCTTCGCCACACTCCTCTCCTCGTGCCTTTGGCTCAGTTGCTCCTCCGCCGGTTTGGGGGGAGGAGGTTCCGGAAATGCCTGATTCTCTCTGGTGCTCAGGGTCTGCTGGCCATGGCTTCCTTTAAAGCAGGAGTTGTTCTCTAAAGCTAGGGCAACTCTGTGGGCTCGTGGGAGCAGGGTCTCCCTTCTCCTGGCAAACCCCGAGGAACATGGGTGAAGTGTCAGCCTGGCGGCCACCGAACTGTGGCAGCCAGCTTGAGAGTGTGAGTCACAGGGCCCTGCCCCGCAGGACACCTGCAGGGCTTGGACCAGGTCCTGCCAGAGCGGACAGTAGCAGTGGCACTACAGTGCCCTCCGGTTTCCGCTCCGCCCCACCGCACTTCTCCGCAGCCTTTCAGGGCTGGGGACGTGGCTAGCACTACGCCACCTGTTAGAGGCTTGGGGACGTAGTCTTCGAGTCCTCCTCAGACCTCCAATGGCGTCAGATTCACTGTCACCCTCTTCCCCTTCGTTAGAGCTGCCGTGAAGCCATTCATCTTCGGAATGGAACCCACCCCCACACCCCCCCAGCTTGGCGGAGATTTTCTGAGCTACTCTTGGGGGTCCGAGAGCCCCTCAAAACCCCTCACTCGCTGGGAGTGAGACTCAGCTTGGGATCGCCAAGGTCAAGCCCCACAGGCTGGTGGGCTGGAAGGGAAGTTTGAATTACACACATACCCCCACACACACCAGAGACGCGTGGGAGCCCACGAATCCCAAATTTGCAGCCCAGAACGAGATTCATGGGCTGAACCTTCGTGATCCTTGGGACCGATTTCAGTGCGGGGGCACAGCGTATTCCACCCCCTTTCCCAGTCATTCCTCTTGCCTTAGTTGACCCCTCTCTGGGTGTGGGTCCCCAGTGGTCCTCAAAGTCAGCTCTGAGATTCTCTAAAGGCCGAAGGGGTCGGGAAAGGTGGAAGCCGGACAGAAGCCCGCTGGGCGCAGGTGGCAGGGTCTCCCCGCGACCAGACCCGAGGAGGAGGCCCTTAGCGCTCAGTTCAGGGACCCCTGGGGCAGGGAACGGGGCCCGCTGCTTCTCATCTTTAAAAAAAAAGGGGGGGGGCTCGGATGGGAGCGCAGAAGGAAAAGGAAATGAAAACAGTTGCGCCGCCGATTTCCAACGGGAGCCCTGTCTGCGGTGTGGGGCCCAGTACAGACACCAGTCTTGGGTCGCGAAATGCGGTGGGAAACCCGCAGAGGCCAGACTGCGCCGGGGCGGCCTCCGCCTCCTGACTCAGATCCCACGGCCGCCGGGCGCTTCAGAGCGAAACTGCCACCGCCCGGGTCAGACTGAATTCGTTTGAGTCATTTTCCCCGGGCCTCTCCAGCCAGCCCAGCAGAATTGGCCGAGGTGGGGAGCCCAGAGGGCGGGAAAGAGGTAGGGACGCCGCCTGCTCACACCGAAGAAACTGCCCAGTTCTCCCGCCTCCAGACCCGCAAGGGTGGAGCGCGAACTACCGTTTTAGGAAGCAGGCACGACCAACTGCCATTTTCAGAAGGGAAAAAATCGACACCGCCCCCTTCCCTGCCCCCCAAAAATCTGTAGTGTCGACCTCTGGAGAGAAGAGAGGAGATCCTAGCATGATCCGAAATGTTCTTTCTACCAAAAAAAAAAAATGCATTCATGAGTAGGCAATTAAATGGAAGCCTTAAACACGCCACGAAGAAACAGGATGACGGCGAGAGCCGTTTGGAAGGTACTTGGACTTGGGCGCGAGGACGCGCGCTTCCCGGGGGCCTTTGCCTTTACCTCCGCGTTTCTCTGTTTCCAGAAGCGGGAATCGCTTCTTAAAGGCTGGTGGCGGCGCTGCACTCCGCCTGGCCCGAGGTGCTGCAGAGGCCCGGGCAAGGCCTTAGGGGCACCAAGGCTGGGCCTGGGGGGTGGGAGAGTGAGGAGTTGGGGTCCCGAGACTGGGTGAGGTCGCAGGCAGAGGAGGAGGGCGGGTCGGCCCTTCCACTCCGGGTGAAAATGAAAGTAGCCCAGGCCTGGTTTCAGGGTTTCACGACTCAAGCTGCGCACCAGCGGCCTCGGCGCGGACACTGTGGCTTTAACCCCTCCTTGCTCACCGGGGCCCAGGGTGAGCGAGGGTAGCGGTGGGCGTTTTGCCCTGGTGGACCCGCGGCACTCTGGGAACTCTGGGGACGCTGGCGGGGCTTGTTCATCTGTAGAATGGGGCAACGACTAACCCTCGCCCTGCCCATTCTGTGCTCCAACCTTGGCTTCTTTGCGGATCAGATGACGCTGGCCCTTGAGGAGTGGAAGTGCCATTTGTACCTGACAGAGGTCAAAGCGCAGGCGACCCTCCCTGGGAGACACGGTATTATCGCCTCCTTCACCCTAATCGTTTCAGAATCTTAGAAAGAGTTTTTGCTGGCCTACTCTAGAAACAAAACCAAACCAGAACCACTTCAGAGCAACGTTGGGAAAATGGAAAGCGGAGAGGATGTGGCAGGTGGAGGTCGACAGCAGGTTAAGGTGAGAGATGGCAATTGGCCGCGGGGCTGCCTATGGGCTCGCCCTGGACTCTGAAACCAATGCCCACGAGGAAAAGGGAACCGGTGGGATCCACTCCTGATCTCGTGGGATTCAACCTTGTCTCTTGCAAAGTCTGGGAAACCTCCATTCCCTGGGCTGCGCAGGCCTAAACCCTTCCAGCGGGAGCAGAGCCGCGCCCCTCCCCCCTCCGCCAGCGGCGGGCATCCCGGTCCCGGACTGACAAGAAGTTGGGACATTGAACCCCAGGTATTTCCATGTTACTGGTTTCCCCAAAGCCCGGCGGAGAGAGGCTCAGAGAAAACGAAGCGTCCAGGAAGGCATGTTAAACTAAACGTTTATAAATTAAAGGGAAAAAATACAGCGTTAGCGTTTCCAAACTTCACAAATCATTTTAAAGTTAATAGTCTAGTTGAGTGCACAGTGCCCTTAAGGAGGCGAAAAGCGGCGAGGTTGACAAGAGGTTGACAGGATCGCCAGTCTTAGGGGAAGGGACAGGGATGGGACAGTCCAAGGTCAGGACGCAGGAGCGGCAGAGAGTGGACAGGAGAGACAAAGCCCCCCCCCCCCCGGCTGAACTGCGGAGGGCTTCGCGGAAAGGCTGGTCAGGGATATTCACATTGAATACAAAAATAACCGTCATTTGAATACAAACAACTCAAAAGTGCTACAAGTTTTAACCTCCTTTTAAAAAAATAGAAAGAAAAAATTTCTTCGAAGGGCTGCCGGGGGCGGGACTTGCTCTCTGCTTGTATGGGGGTTTCGGGAGCTTCCCAGTTCCTTGCGGCCCTGGACTTCAGAGAGGAACGCTGGGGCGCGCCCTGTGCTCAGAGGTTTCCTTCTTTACATTCAGCATCCAACAGGGCGCCCTCACCCGAGCTCTGACACCAGGGAGGGGTAGCGCAGAGGACCAGGAAAACAAACCCTTCATGGTTCAAACCAACCCCTGGCCTGGGGTTTCCGGAGGCTGCCAGGGTTTCCGCACCCCTTTGTTACAAATGCAATTTCCAAAAATAATACGTATGTAGATACACATAGATTGGTAGCATGGATACCATGAACTAGTGTGGCCTAGCGCACGAAGCTCCTGGCAGGCCTGAGATTCAGGGGATTCAGGCTATGCGGTCTCCAGGAGTTCTATCCACTCCGGGGAAACGCCATCCCCCGGCAGATACAATCCAAATCCAACGCTGTCATGATAATAAATAATGTTTAAAGGCTTCCAGGCAGGCGGGGGGGGCGGGTGGCACGAGGGAGCAGAGCCCCTAGGCCACAGGGTGCCTCTGTTCAAATTGGAAAAAGGCGCCCCCCTCCGGGCAGACTTAGTCTTGTCGCCAGGGCGCTCGTTCTGGATGCAGGGGCCAGGGCTGGATCTCATTCTCCACTTGACCCCTCTGCTGGGCGCCCCTGTACAAAGCACAACCTGCACGGCTGTCAGCAGCGCTCTGGAGCTGGGGAGCCGGGATGGTTCCCTGCCTCGCCCCAGGCCGGCTCACTGCGTGCCCGCGGCGGCCGCGCACGTGGAGAGTGCCCAGCCTGGGAGGCAGTAGTAGGGATAATAGTAGGAGGGCTGCAGTGGCAGCAGCGAGGGCGGCCGCAGCACCTCCCCGGGCAGGTACTGTCTTTGGTCGTCGCGCACCAGTACCTTCACCGCCACCTTCTTGGCGGCGGGCGCGGAGGCCAGCAGGTCGGCGGCCATCTGCCGGCGCTTGGTCTTGTAGCGACGGTTCTGGAACCAGATCTTCACCTGCGTCTCAGTGAGCTTCAGCGAGGCGGCCAGGTCCGCGCGCTCGGGCCCCGACAGGTAGCGCTGGTGGTTGAAGCGGCGCTCCAGCTCGAAGACCTGCGCGTGGGAGAAGGCGGCCCGCGAGCGCTTCTTACGTGGCTTGGGAGCCACCGGCTCCTCCTCCTCCTCCGCGCCGCCCGCGGGGCCAGCGCTGCCGCCGCCCGCACCGCTACACGGGGCCGCCACGCGAGCGCCTTCCGGACCAACGCCATCGTCCTCGGCCCTCGGGCTGCGGTCGCCTGCGGACCACAGAGGAAACAGAAACAAAAGACCCTCAGCACCGCCGAGGAGTGAGGTCAGGCCTCGGCTTCGGGGGTGGGGGTGGGGTGAAGAATGGAAATGTTTCGACCTCACCGGAGTGGTAGGGAGGCCTAGACTCTGGAGGTTCCTGGGGACAAGTCTCAGAACCCGGTCGTACTCAAGTCCCGGGTCTGGGCCTGTCGGGTGCAGCCGAGGGCCTCAGCCGCCCTATGGACGCTGCGCGGCCCAGACCCCCCTGTCTCCCCTATCTGGGCTGCAGGCTCCCCTCATTAACGGGGGGGGGGCACTGAGCCTGGTTATCCTCGATTATCCACTGGGTTTTGTCCCCAGCTACCTTCTCGGCTGGGGGTTCTAGAGTGAGTTTATGTCTCCTTCTTTGAGTCCCCCCCGTCTCTCCACACTCACGCTCAGGCATAAGAGGCCTCGGGTGCGCGGGAAGGGAAGGTGGGGGGACGGATCCCGGGGACAGAGAGATTCAGAGTCTTCTGCCTCCGACCGCCCAGAACTGCTGCGAGGAACGCGGCAATGCGCTGCCCCCAGGCCTCGGGTGGACTTCTCCCTCTCTCTTCGTAAGAATATTAGACAGGGGGTGGGGGGGTTGGGGTGACAGGAGGAGTGTGTCTCTGTCTAGAGTCCTTGGATCCAAATCTGACACCAGCTCCTCGGCCCTTTCCGCACTCTCCCCACAGCACCCTAGCAGAGAGGTCCGGCGCTCTGGCCTTTGGCAGACACCATTTGCTTGGGGCCCGAGAGAGGCCTACTGCATCAGCGTCCACCCGACCCGGGCAGACATCGGGGTATTTCCGACCGCACGAGTTGCCAGCCCGCGGCTGAGGAGGTCCCTCTTTCTGCTGCGTCTGGGATGACTTACATCAACCCCTCTGCTTTCAGCTGGCTGCTGGCTGCGCCTGCAGCTCGGGTGTCAGCTCGGAACAGCTTTCCAGGCCCTGGGGTCTGGGAAAGCTAAACAACCCTCCCCCGAAAACCTGGACTCAGCAGATCCTCTGCCTGCAGCCCATTGGAAAGCGTCCCTAGCTACCTGTCCTTGAGCCCCAGAGCCCGGCTCTGGGACCTCCGGTTCGGAGCGTCTCTGCTCTTTGGGCGAGGTGCTAGGTCTCTGGGCCCCTCGCTCTCCCATCTTAACTGATTTGGGGCGGTGGAGACCGACGCGGCCGGCCGCAGGCATTGATAATGGACTCAAATCCGGGGTGCAGTGTTTTCCCCAGCCCCGCCTGGAGGACTTCTCAGGCCTTGTCCCAGGACGCAGGGCTCTGAGGACTCCCCGTACTTCCTTGGGCTCAGTTACCTGAGGGCTAGAGCAGCCCGCGCCAGAGCGCAGAGCTTTGGGTCTGGGTCAGCCCCTGGGCCCCAGGCTGCAGGGTGCTCACGGCCGGCCCACCTCATTCGATGAGGCTGACCTTGCGCAGTCCCTCAGCCCGGCCCCTTTCCCCGGGACCTCTCAGCGAACCTGAGATGCTGGCGGACATCTCGCTGTCGCTCCGGCCCGCGGCTTCCTCCTCTAGGTCCTTGGCCGCCGGTCGAACGAGGCTCAGGGTCCCTCCGGCACGGCCAGACCGACTGGACCTTGGCTCGTCCGCGCAGCGACGCGTGCTGTCGTTCTCCTCGCTCAGCGCCGAGTCCGAGTCCCAGCCGCCCGGGCTCTCGGAGGTCCTCCCCGCAGCCGTTCTGGTCCCGGCAGGCGATGCCAGCAAAGAGTCCTCGGCGCCCCCCAGCGCGCCCTTGTCCGTCTCCCCAAAGAGCCGCCAGCAGCAGACAGCGGGCGCCCCAGCCACTGCTACCGGTGTGCCCCCGGATACCGGGCGCCCCTCTAGCACTGGCAGCCCCCCGCGCTCCTCTTTCTTATTGAGGATTGCCTGGATGGAGAAGGGCGTCAAGGTGTTGGCACCGCGCACAGCCATCTGCGCCGCGGGCCGGAGCGGCCGGCCGGCCGGGCGGCTGGGGCGCGGGGCAGCTCCGAGCTGGACGGAGCGCGCGGGCCGCCGCAGCCCCAGTAAGCCCCGCGCGCGCGAGGCCCCTGCAGCCCACTCCTGCGCAATCCAGTAGCCCCCGCCCGGCTCTGGCTGGGATCGGCGCCGACCCTCACCCCTACTTCCGAGGCTCTCCCGAACCGGAGACCCCCCTCCCTCCCAGTCCAGCGCCAGACGCTCTCCTTTCGCAGCTCAGCTGAATTATCTCATCGCCTGGCGCCCCAGAGGGGCTGCCGGGGGCTGGCCCCTCGGAGGATGTAGGGGGAGGATCCGCGGGGGCCCCTGCGCGGCTGCAGTCCCCTCCTAAGCGCCTCCGGAGCGCACGACCAAAACCACTTTTTCTTTGCGCCTCTAACTCTTCCCTGCCTGCAGGATTTCGCTCCTGGCTCGTCCTCTCTCTTCCCAGCTAGGCCCGCTCTTCCGGAGCCCACCCCCGGCGGCGGCGGCCGCTGGACTCCGACAGGCGCGGGGCACCTTTTTACCCCCTGCCTCGGTTTTATCTGTTTCTTCTCTCTTTCCTTCCCCAGCGTTCCAGCGTACCCCCCGCCCGCCCGGGTGTCATTCCTCACCGCTGAGTGACAGCCACAGGCCACGCCTCTCCGCTGGGCGGTCCCTGGGCGCTCCCCGCCTCCCATTGGCTGGCTCCGGCGGGGCGACGTTCTCTTTAACAGACAGAACCGGGCCCGCTGCGCGGAGACCGTCAGGGTCTGACTTAACCCCTTTCCTCCCGAGTCTGGTCCACCGAGCACCCTCCGGTAACACGAAGGCCCCAGACACGCCGCCCCAGAAACCGCGGCTCTTGCCTTTGCGGATGCATTCACCTATTCCCGCGCTTTTATGGAACACTATGTTTAGTTGAGCCAGTGAGGGGGAAAATCCAAGATAACGCCGGTCCATAAATCACGCGTGTATTTGTTGTTCTCTAAAAAGGTTCACAGATACGAAGAACAAAATGCTACTTTCTCCCCCTTAGAGTTTCGCAGCTCTTCATTGCTAATTCTTTCCGCTAAAATAACCAGTTAATTAAAATCACTCTATTATTTTTTCTTTCCTCGTTGCATTTTATTTGATTCGATTTCTATAGAGGAATTGAAAAGGAAAAAATGGTACGGTTAGTATTAAAGCGAGTGAGAAATTGGAAGGCACCTTTAGAAGAGTTTCGGGACTGATTATTCCATGTCGATACTGAATTATTCCATGATTATTCCATGTCGATTATTCCATGGAATATTTCATGGAATAATCATGATTATTCCATGTCGATACTGAATGTAATTGGAGTTAGTTAAATTTCACACCAGGAAGAAAAGAAAAACCCTTCCAATCTGTTCTTTAAATATTCTGTTACTTGTGATTTGACTAAGCTTAGGAGATTGTTTGTTTAAAAGAATTTCTAGGAATTACCATAGCAATGACTCTGAACGGACATTAAATGCTCTTAAAAAAAAATAAGTAGCACATTGTTTTCTGAAAAAGAAGGTACCAAGCTAAGAAACACAAATACTGTGGGCGTATCAAAACATTTGTTACTTATTTATGTTGTTTATTTTTTAATAAAAAAAATGTACTCCAGCACCATACTTTACTGTCTTCCATAAATTTTACCAGAGGTTTAACTTAACACCAAATACACAACCAGAACCATTAAGTCAGTTTAAAGAACTGTGATTTTAATTTAGTAAATCGCGGGGACTGGTGTTTTTGGTGTCGCTAAAATAAACACCATTTCCCCTGGCTGCTTTCTCTTCGGCGGTTCTTGCTCTGCACCGCAGGTTGGGATACACCCACTGTCCGCAGTTTTCAAGCTCAGCGGGGGATTTTGCACCATCTCTACTTTCCAGCATCCCAGCCACTGTGTGTGAGATGATGCTTTTCTTCATGGCGCGCGCACACGGCACCGCGGATCCTGTAGTGTATTTCGTGAGGGGCGGAGGGCCCATACTTGAGGAGGGCATTGATGTTTGTAACTCTTTACGATAACATCAGTTTTTTTAGAGAAAGGTGTTTAAATGTGGAGTCAGTATCCCGCAAGTGTAAGGCACCGGACGCTCTTCAGGCCGGGAGGGGAACAGAACAGGTTTCAAAACAGAACACCTCCTTTTCCTTCCTCCCTCTGGCCTTTATTTATTCTCTAGATCACCCATGCCTTCCCATCCTAAGCAATTGGTGGTCATTCTCCGGGGTCAAGTCGAGGAGGAGGTTGACCCAGGTCACCCAGCAGGCAAGAGCTGAGCAGGTGAGAACTGTGTGTCCCGTAGTGCAGTTAGGAATTGGTGTGGACAAGTAATAGAGTGAGTCTGGACACAGGCGCAGGCAGAGATGTCTGGGGATTGAGTAACTGAATGTCAGAGTAACTTTGGGGGCTATCCAAAGACTTACTCAGTTGCCCCCCCCCCATTTTTAAAGGAACCCCCAAATCAAAGTAAGATATAGCCCTGGCCGCAGGCTCGGGCAGAGGCGTTCACCGGACGGAAGCTGTGGCTCGGGGATTCGGTGCGCACCTAGTGCATCAGGGTGGCGGCGTTCGGCTTCAGGGGAGCGCGGCCAGGGAGGATCTTGTGGTCGCGGCAACTGCGGCGGTCAGCGGATCTCCAGGTCTGGTGAACAGCTGCGGGCAGGGCCGGGAGTTGGGTGTCGGCGGAGTGTAAACACAAGGGTCTGGAGGCTGCTCCTAATAACAGCTTGGGTGGGGACGAAAAGACTTTGCAGGACGGTGAGCGAAGGTGGTCGGAGGCTCAGAGATTTCTCCGGTACATGCAGAGTAAAGGCCCGCGAGGGGGTGGGTGTGTGTGGCTCCGCAGGTCAGCGCGAAACGCAGAGCCGGAGATCCCCGGGGATAGGGAGGCATCCGCGCACCGGTGCACTCGGCCCCGGCTTCCAGTCCACGGAGGGCTATTTGCTTCAGCGAGGCTGCGAGGTCGGCGCGGCGCCCCGGCCTGGGCTGGCCCCGGGAATCCGCAAAGCCGAGGAGCCCGGCCGACCCGCCCATCTTCGAGGAGACACCCGCTGGTTCCGCGCGGTGCCTTCCTCCTCGGCCCCTCGCCTGGCTCTTTCCTGGTCTTCTCCCCCTTCTATCTTCTTTCCTCCCCGCCAACTCCTTTTCCTCCTCCGCAGTTTGGTTCCTGCGCACCCTCTACGTGCCCCCAGAACAGCCTGGTTTCGAGGCGCTGCTGGGCAGTGAGGCTTGCCCGGGCCGCTGGCGGAGCACCGCATGGGGGTGGGAGAGACGAGGGCCGGACAGGGAGAGACCCCCGCTCTCCTGCGCGCGCTGACACCAAGATCGCGCCCCTGCCGCCCTCCACCTGCAGTCTCCACGGTCCTTGGTCCTCCGGGGAGGAGTTGCCATCTGTGCTCCCGGGGGCCAGAGGATGGGCTCCAGGGGCTGCTCCACAGTGGGAGGCCACGCGGGACTTGTCTCAGACTCTGATGACCTTGACTGAAGACACTTGCCTTTTCTGAGCCACAGTTTCCAGTCCTTTGAAACGAGGGCTTGTGCTGGGTGCCCTCCGAGGCCGCTGCCGAGCCGTGGTGCGAGCTGGTGGGCGGGCAGGAGGCTCCGTCCCGTGCAGGCTCTCCAGAGCCAGGTCCAGGCAGAGGCCGCACCAGAGACTGACGGACTGTCCCCTTGGGCAGGCTTTCGTGGGGGCTCCAAGCATCCCAGGTGCCCAGAGACCTGTCCCTTTCCCACCCCCCGCCCCGGACACCAGCTCCTAAATTCCTAGGTCATCGATTTCCAGACGCCAGGGTTTTGCCGCGCAAATGGTCCAGGCGCAGACTGCACAGAGAAGCACTACTCTGGGCCGAGGTGGCTTTATAGTTAAAGAGATGCTGTTCAACAGCAGAGTTCCAGAAGCCGCAGCCTTTTGCTTTATTTAATCTACATAGCCTTGAGGGTGTGGTGAGTAAAAAACATGATTATCTCCACGTTGCAAATGAGGAAACAGAGCCACAGTTTAAATGACTTGGCCATCAGGAAGTGGCTACATCATGGTTCAAATCTGACTTTGTCTAGTGCTGATCCTGTTGGGTTTTCTATTTCTAAGCGGCTTTTCTCATAAACCTTCACGTTCCTTCTCATTAAATGTTTTTCATCGTCCTCCTGACCCATTTCAGTGGATTCATTTATCAGGAAAAAAAAAAAAAGCCAGGAATTTAAGGAAATCAAAGAAGGAATTAGGCAGGCAAATCTAAGGATTTTTCTTTTTCGTGCATTTGAAAACAAAAGACGGCAAGGCCTAGGGATCCGAGCCTAAGGCTTGTTATGTGGGAAGAAAGAAACACCATTACGATTTCAGTCAACACACAGAAGGGGACAGCCAGGGGATAGAAGTCTGTTATGATCAGAAATGTGGGGCCCTGGGCTTTGCCCGAGGCTCTGCGCCGCAGCGATTTGACCTCAGGGAGGACGCTTTCTCACCGGATGTCTAGTTTTCCTACCTGCACAAAGCCGGGACTAGAGATCTCATCTCAGGCTTAGGAAGGTAGGTCGGGTCTGCTGAACCCGCCTGGATACAGTGGAGGACGCGCGCCACCTAGCGGTAAGGCCTGCAGCATGTGCGGCGCGCCCATCTAGTAAAGCACCGAAAAGAAAACGTTGACTTCATGAAACGCAAGGTTTTTGCTGTCAGTTGTCTGTCTCCACAGCATCATGTCATCAGTGGTCTAATAGCGGAAGTGTTCCTTTAAAGAAAGACTCATGCAGACACAGTCCGGATTTCCACTGAAGACTCGCCTCGCTCAAGGGCGGGAGGGGAGTATTGGGGCTGGGCAGGGAAAGGTGGGGATCCGTTCTAGAGCCCAGGGGGCTGCAGGGCCCAGAGCCCTCCTGGCCTAACACATCCTTGATCCCTCTGCGCCAGGTCCTCGGGCTACCTACCTCCTGCGAGTAGGCGACCCAGGCTTCCCCCGACGCTGATGCCCGGGCGGGCACATGAGGTCTGCATGTTCCAGTTTCACGAGACTAATCTCATTTGGGTTGTCTGTTAAACATTGGGTGGATGATGGTGCTCTTTCTTTCTGTTTTTTTCTTTCTTTTTTTTTTCCTGTGGAGAAGAGGAGGTTTGGTGGATAAACAGGAAGATGCTTATTATGTGCAGTTGCTTGTGTTGAATTTTGTATAAAATTCAAAGAAAGTCTCCTGCATTTACTACCTTTCTGACTCTAAGTAACTGTCCTGGGGGCTCTCAAGGCCACATTCTCCTTGCAAAGTTTGCCAACTCTTTTCCCTTTCTCTAGTCTCTTCCTTACATTCTTTTAATATTTGGCAAGTTTTTCTTCCGGTCCTACCGTGTCTCAGGTGTTGCTCTAGGCTCTGGGGTTCGAGGCTCACCCAAGGGACTAGTCTCCACAGCTAACATTCCAGGGGTGGAACACCATGAAGAAACAGACACTTAAATGCATCAATGGACAAAACATCAGCTGGGGACAGTGCTGTGAAAAGAATGAAAGCAGACTGTCAAGGCAGCGGTGACCGGGGGCTGCTGTAGCTGGGTTGCAATTCGGAGCGGAAAGAATATAGAGGAAGAGATTTTTCA